CTCATCGCGCCCGGGCCCGATGGGGCCCCGGCCAAGGGCGATGGCCCCGCGAGCCTGGGGGCGACAGGCGGCGGCCTGGCTGTGCCGCCGCGCGAGACCTGGACGCGCCAGATGGACTTTATCATGTCGTGCGTGGGCTTCGCCGTGGGCCTGGGCAACGTGTGGCGCTTCCCCTACCTGTGCTACAAGAACGGCGGAGGTGAGCTCCCCCTCACCCCCACATCCTGCTCCACTGCGCGCCGCCTGCACCGCGACGAGGGTCCCCTCCCCCAGCCCGCCCCTGCCCACCAAGTAGGGGAGGAGCCAGGGCGAAGTCCAGGGGGTGGGGAGGCCCCCCGGGGCGCCTGGGGGCCTGGGCACCCCTAGTTCCCCCAGCAGCCAGAGGCTCAGCTGCCTGGGCCGCCACCCCCTCGCGGTCATGTGCCTGGTGTCCTGGGGGGAAGCAGCCAGTCCCATAGTACCCAGCCTGGGGGCTACTCCTCACACCCGAAGCCCAGACCAGGGCTCCCATAGTGACCCTCGAAGTAGGAAAGGCAGGCCCGTCTCCTGGGGACCACTAAGGCGAGGCGAGGTGCTCCCGCTGCCCGCCGAGGGTCAGGCACACAAGCAGCACATTGTGTGGCCCCCCCACGTGTGCACACACGAACGCACACAATGGGCCACTCTGTCCCACCCCCGTGCCCTTCCCCCTCCCTCCTTCCCTTCCCCTCCCCTCTGCCCCCGGCCTGGAACACTGGGTGCCTGAGCCAGGCTTGGGAAGCCTGCGGCCTGGCCCGCCTGGCGCCGCCAGTGGACACTGCATGCACACCCCCTGCCCGCCTGCCCAGGCCAAGCTTAGCAACAGCAGCGGGCACACATGTGTCCTGTGACTGCAAAGCAGCAGGCCTGCCTGCTGGGAAGGGAAGGAACTGGGCACTGGAGGTAAACTGAGGCCCAAGGTCACTCACCAGAAGGATGCTGGGACAGGAGCTCAGCCACCTAGCCAGAGAGCTGAAGGGGCCGAGAGCCGGGGGCGGGGCGGGGGGAGAGGAGCGGGAGGAGCGGCAGGGCCAGAGGCAGCCCCCTCATTCGGCCCTGCCTCCCTTGCCTCGAGCCAGCTGGGCCAAGGCGGCCCCTTCTTCCCTCCACCTGTGTCTGCCCTTGCATGTCAGTAGGGCGTCAGCAGATGACTGCCACCTGCCTCGGATCTTCCCAAGTGCAGGACAGTCAGGGCCTCCCGGCCTCGATTCAAACCCCAGCCCTGGAGCACACGCACGGGGACACATATGTGCCCTTGGGTTCCTTCAGGAGCTGCAGCGCAGAGATGGCCTGCATGCACGCATACGCATGTCCTCCGTGCCCAGCAGGTCACCCTAGCTCGGCGCCTGGGAGAGGGCACCCCGCAGCCGGGGGACAGGGCCAGCTCTAGCCCCTCCTTGAAGACCAGGGACCCACCCAACCCCCTCCCGTTGGGAGCCTTGGGGCTTTGGCAAGCAGCTGAGGGGTCTGGATCAGGTTCCCTCCTGGCAGGCGCCACCCCAGGCAGGTTGCTGTGGTCTCCCCCTGACCCCCGTGCCCCCCCTCTAGGCGTGTTCCTTATTCCTTATGTCCTGATCGCCCTGGTCGGAGGGATCCCCATTTTCTTCCTGGAGATCTCGCTGGGCCAGTTCATGAAAGCTGGCAGCATTAACGTCTGGAACATCTGTCCCATCTTCAAAGGTGAGCTCCCAGCCCCACCCTCTCCTCGGGGAGCCCTCGCTGTCCTAGTGCAGGCCCCCAGGGTGGCGGACCACTGGTAACAGGGCCCAGGAGAGGGGCCAGCACGTGCAGCTAGACAAGCAACAGGACAGAGTGCAGGGCGCAGGGACAGTTCATGGAGGACATGAAGTGCAGGGGCGCCCTGGGAAGGGACACTAGCCCTGGGGCTTGGCAGTTGGACATCTCAGGCATGCAACAGAGAAGGCTCTGGTAGGAGAGGATGTGGCTGCTAGTTCAGCAGGAAGCAGCCCTGGGAGGGGATATGACCCAGGGTGGCTAGAAGCAAAGCCACAGGGACCAGAGCCCGCTGTCTCCAGGCCTGGGCTACGCCTCCATGGTGATCGTCTTCTACTGCAACACCTACTACATCATGGTGCTGGCCTGGGGCTTCTACTACTTGGTCAAGTCCTTCACCACCACTCTGCCCTGGGCCACATGTGGTCACACCTGGAACACTCAGGACTGCGTGGAGATCTTCCGCCATGAAGACTGTGCCAATGCCAGCCTCGCCAACCTTACATGTGACCAGCTTGCTGACCGCCGGTCCCCTGTCATTGAGTTCTGGGAGTAAGTCAGGCGCCTCTGGGCCAAGCCCACCCTATTCTGTTCCACCCACCCCCACTCCGCTCCACTGCACTCCACACGTGGTCCAGCCCTGGAGACTTGCCCCTCCTGGGGCTGGGGTGGGCCTTGCTCCTCAGTGACAATGTCACATCGTCCTGTTGAGAAAGCTGGGGACCGTGGACGGGGGGCATCCTGGCCCGGGTGCTGGAGCCAGCCAGCCAGCAGTGCCCTGCCTCCTCCAACCTCCAGAAGATCAGGGGCACAGGGCAGAACCCCCACCACGGTCTGCTGGAGGGACCAAGGAGCCACACCCATCAAGGCCGTCCCAGCCTCACTGCTTCCCTCCCTCTGTCCTGCCCTAGGAACAAAGTCTTGCGGCTCTCGGCCGGGCTGGAGGTGCCCGGGGACCTCAACTGGGAGGTGACCCTATGTCTGCTGGCCTGCTGGGTGCTGGTCTACTTCTGCGTGTGGAAGGGGGTCAAGTCAACAGGGAAGGTATCACTGCCGGTGCGAGGGTGGGGGCGCCGTTGCCTGGGAGCCCTGTGCCTCTGCGGGGACACTGTGGCATCAGTAGGTAACAGGACCAGGGTCAGGGTGAGAGGAGCGGGGCGGTCCCTAGATCCAGGCCACTTTTTCCCCACAACAGTGCTGGGTGTGCAGTCCTTCCCAGCGTCCAAAGCCAGGACCTGGCAGCCCCAGTGCCAAGGGCCGAGGCCAGCACCCCGTCCCCATGCTTCTGTTCTGTCCCTCCCTGGGTCCCCTGGTGCCCCTCCTACCTGAGTCATGCCAGTCTGAGCTGAGCACCAGATGAAGCCTGCACACATGTGCCCTGCCCTTCCTCAGGGGCTTCCTTTCTGTCACGGACTGAGGGAGGAGGCATGCACCATACATAGTAGGACAGGTTTTCAAGAGCCACGGGACACGACCAGGTCCCTAGAAGGCAGGACTCCAGTGCTTCTCATTTCCAGGGTCCTTTGCTGTTCCTTGCCCTCTCTCGAGGTGCTGGGGTCAAAGCTGGGCCTTGACCAGGCCAGGCAAGCACTGGGCCATGCCCCCGCCCTTTCTCTTGCCTCTCCGGCCCAGTTAGAGGCCCCGCCTCTCTGTGAAGGATGATGAGGAGCTTGGGGCCCTGCAGCCTCTGAGAGAGACCCATGATTATCCTCCCCATGCCATGCTGCTGTGCCCACTGCCACTCCTCTGCCAAAATGTGCCGGGGACCCTCAGGTGACTGCCATGGCCCTGTCCTTTCCTGAGCTGACCTTGCTGCTGGCTTTGCTCTGGGGAGCCCTGGTTCTATGGGGCAGGATGAGGAGCTCCAGGGCTGGGCCGCTGAGGGAGGTGGGCTGCAGCACCCCACTAAGTCACCCGGGCCCCTAGATCGTGTACTTCACGGCTACATTCCCCTACGTGGTCCTCGTTGTGCTGCTGGTGCGTGGCGTGCTGCTGCCCGGAGCCTTGGACGGCATCATCTACTATCTCAAGCCAGACTGGTCCAAACTGGGGTCCCCTCAGGTGAGTGCTGGGCCACCATGGCACGCTGAGGCGGGCAGGATATGCCATCAGGCTCTGCCCTCATGCTGCGCCTGCACCTCCCACAGGTATGGATAGATGCTGGGACCCAGATTTTCTTTTCTTATGCCATCGGCCTGGGAGCCCTCACAGCCCTGGGCAGCTACAACCGCTTCAACAACAACTGCTACAAGTAGGCATCACACTGGGTCCTCAGCCCTCTCTGCCCTGCTTACCCCACCCTCCCCCGTGAGAAAGCCGGGTGCTACCAGTCCCCTCTGCCCCCAGGGATGCCATCATCCTGGCACTCATCAACAGCGGGACCAGCTTCTTTGCTGGCTTCGTGGTCTTCTCCATCCTGGGCTTCATGGCAACAGAGCAGGGCGTGCACATCTCCAAGGTGGCGGAGTCGGGTGAGTCCCCGCCCAGGTCTGCTTGCAGAGCAGCAGTGTTGGCCCATGTGCGCGGCATGTGGGCACACGCAGATGGCAATTGAAAAGGGATGGCCAAGTTCCCCCGGGCCAGACAGAGGCTGACACAGAGCAGCCCTGCTCAGCCCTGTTCACACTGGGCTTGGGGGCCCTTCCACCCATCTCTGGGGCCGCACAGTGTCCCGGCACTTGTCCCTGTGCTACTGTGCCCCCCCACCCCCGCCCGCTGGTGACCCATGACTGTGAGGGCTGTTGGACGCCAAGGGGCCCGCCTGAGGGCCTGGGGACACCTTCCAGGGCCCGTGTCTGGACGCTCACTGAGCATGAGCTTCTCAGGCAGACACGGGGTGTCCCTGGGCAGGTACATGCTGCCAGTCTCACCCTGCCCCTCTGCCCCCAGGGCCCGGCTTGGCCTTCATCGCCTACCCCCGGGCTGTCACACTGATGCCTGTGGCCCCGCTCTGGGCCGCCCTGTTCTTCTTCATGTTGCTGCTGCTCGGGCTCGACAGCCAGGTTTGCAGAGGCTCTGGGCCGGGTGCTAGGGCGGGCGCGGGGGCTGGGCCGGGCCAGGCTGGGCCAGGCCTGAGCTACCCTGCCACAGTTTGTAGGTGTGGAAGGCTTCATCACTGGCCTGCTCGACCTCCTCCCGGCCTCCTACTACTTCCGTTTCCAAAGGGAGATCTCTGTGGCCCTCTGCTGTGCCCTCTGCTTCATCATCGACCTCTCCATGGTGACTGATGTGAGTGGCCCTGGGGTGCCACTGCTGCTGGGCTCTGGCCACTGGCCACCATCCTCCCTCATCCGGCTCTGTCCTCCAGGGCGGGATGTACGTCTTCCAGCTGTTCGACTACTACTCCGCCAGCGGCACCACGCTGCTGTGGCAGGCGTTTTGGGAGTGCGTGGTGGTGGCCTGGGTGTACGGTAGGTCTGGGCCGAGGTGGGTGGGACGCTCGGGCAGGGGGGCGGAGACCACAGCTCTGGCCCTCCCCACCCGCACAGGAGCCGACCGCTTCATGGACGACATCGCCTGCATGATCGGGTACCGGCCTTGCCCCTGGATGAAATGGTGCTGGTCCTTCTTCACGCCACTGGTCTGCATGGTAAGGGCTGTGGGAGCTGGGAGGGTGAGGGGCTACTTGGGCCTGCCTGATGCACGGTGCCCCCACAGGGCATCTTCATCTTCAACGTGGTGTACTACAAGCCGCTGGTCTACAACAACACCTACGTGTACCCGTGGTGGGGCGAGGCCATGGGCTGGGCCATCGCGCTCTCGTCCATGCTGTGCGTGCCCCTGCACCTGCTGGGCTGCCTCCTCAGGGCCAAGGGGACCGTGGCGGAGGTGAGCACCGGGCACCTGCCTCGCCTGCCAGGGGTGGGAGCTGGGACCTGGGAGAGACCGCGGGCACCTCCTCCCCTCCCCTCTCCTCTCCTCCCACAGCGCTGGCAGCACCTGACCCAGCCTGTCTGGGGCCTCCACCACTTGGAGTACCGAGCTCAGGACGCGGACGTCAGGGGCCTGACCACCCTGACCCCTGTGTCTGAGAGCAGCAAGGTTGTCGTGGTGGAGAGTGTCATGTGACACATACCCCAGCTCACATCACCAGCTCCCCCTCTGGTAGCCATAGCAGCCCCTGCTTGAGCCCCAGTCACCCCTCCGGGGACCTGCCTTTCCCTGCTACTCCGGGGGCTGCCGTCTGGGGGAGGGAGGATGCACCATGAGTGCTAACTAAAACAACGTTTTCCATTTTTAATAAAACGCCAAAAATACCACAATCCACCAAAAATAGATGCCTCTCCCCTGGCCCTAGCCAAGCTGGTCTCCCGCACTGCTCCCTGGCCCTGCCTCCTCCCCACACCACCACGGGCCACCTCGGAGGCTCTGCTCTGTGACTCCTTCGGGTGGCCCCTTCCCCTAGGCAGGCAGCAGTGGCAGCTCGGGGAAGGGGAGGAGTGGGCCTGGCAGGGGACAGCAGGAGGCGAGTGCTTCCGCTGAACTAGGCCCTGCTCCCTCGGCCTGTTCTCAGCTTTGAGAGCCAGCCAGCAACCAGCGACAAGGGAACCTCAACCTCCGTTCCAGTCGCCACCACTCTCCCCTCCTGCGCGGGACCTTGGGTCAGAGTGCGCGAGTGCGTGCGTGAGTGTGCAGCGGATACATACATCTCCATCTCTTAGCAAAGGCCAATACCAGATGTAAACGGTGCCTCTGGGCAAAGGAGGCTTGTATTTTGCACATTTTATAAAAACTTGAGTGTGAGATTCCCGCTTGTATATTTCTAAAGAGAGAAGAGCCCAGACCACCCATCCCCTCACCACCCCCTGCCCCCGCAGCCCTTCTCCCTCCCTTCCCTAGCCAAGGAGTGTGAATTTATAGACCTAATTTTCATAGGCAAAACAAAGCTTCAAGCCCTTGAGCGTGCGAGTCTTGTGTGGGTGCGCGTGTGCGGCCCCGGTCCGGGCCTGGGGTGGGAAGACGCGTGGGTCAGACGGTGGCCCTGGCTGCGCATCTGGTCCTGGCGTGCTCAGGCTTGCCCACACCCTGCCTGCCTGGCTGGGCTCCCCTCGCCAAGCTTCAGGCTGATGCCCTTTCCGCATCTCAAGTCTTCCGTGTAGCAGCTTTAACCCACGTCCGTGTCCTGTCAAGCCCAAAATGGCCGAGTGGCCCCCGAGGGCTCCCCTACATGGAGACCTAAGCCGAGGGGCGGGTCCAGGGAGGGCGCGGGCCTGCAGGGACGTTCTTACTGTGCTAAAAAGCCACTGCAAACATAGCAATAAAAACACGTCATTTTCCAAAGCTGGCTCCGGCGTCTGTCTCTGCTCCCAGGGAGGGGTGCGGGAGGTACGCCGAGCAAGGCCTCCCAGGAATGCGCAGGGCACTGCCCCGTGGCGGATGTGGTGGGACCAGGAAGCTCCAGGTGGGCCCTGTGGGCACTGCGGTTTGTACAAGGGTGCCCCCACGTCCCTGAGCAGGTGACCTTCCCAGATTGGAGGGAGGTAGAAGGGCAGGCTGGGGCCAGGGGCTCGCTGGGAAGAGGCAAGGCAGCTTCCCATTAGGATCTACTTTGAGAAAGGGATCAGAAGGGGCTGGGGGACACCAGGACACAGGACTGAGGGGTCGAGGACATGAGAGATCTGGCCCGGGCCACGGGAAGAATGGCATTGCCAGGTCCAGCAGTGGGGACAATCGGAGTTGGCTTTGTGTCATCCTGGAAGCACCATCCAAGTGGAGACATCTAGTTGGCAGGTGGACACACAGGAGTCTGCCGCTCTGCGAAGTCTGGCCCGGAGCTAGGACGTCGGAGCGTGGGAGAGGGAGGACAGCCGGATGGAGGGGCTGCGCTGCACTGGGTGTGCCAAAGCCTGGCTGGAGCGGGGTCAGGAAAACGGCTGAGAGGGTCCCAAGTGTCCAAGGACAGATGAACAGACCGACAGACAGACGGGTGCATCCATGCCGCCGGATGTTACTCAGCTGTAGGAAAGCTTCACGGGCGACCCTTGGGGTCAATGGTGGTCAGTGAGAGAAGCCAGGCACAAAAAGCCGAGTGCAGTGTGGCTGCACTCTGTCTTAGACAGAGGGGACTGGTGGGCACCAGGGCTGACAGGAGGGCACTAGGACTTATGGGGCCAGCGGGGACACCAACAGCAACGCCAGTACACGACGTGAGTGTGCATGGAGATGACGCGTTTGTGCTCGTAGACACGTACAAGCATACATACAGGTATGCACTCAGGTTCTTCCACCACAGTAAGGGAAAGAGGGCCCAGACAGGTCTCTGAGGGCAGGACACAGCGCAATGGAGGGTGGCCGTCATCAAGGCGTGGTGCGCAGAGGGGGAAGCAGTTACCCCGAGGCAGGCAGGAGGCCGGGCAGCCACCCTGTCCCCTCCCCTCAGTGCCACTTCTGTTTGCTTCTGGTCTTTCTCCCTGCATACACACCCCAGGCACTCCAGGCCTGCTAGCTGCTCCCCAGTCCCCAGCCTACCCTCCCTGAGCACACTGCAGCCCTGCCCCACTGTCCCCATATGCCCCGCCCTGCCCACACTGATGCCACAGCTCTCGGCCAAGGCTCTAGCCTGGATGAGAACTCACTCTGCGGTTCTCCTTGCCTCCAGGCTGACACCCTCCAAAGCCACCTGCCACAATTCTGCTGAAGACACAGAAGTCGTGACATCACAGAAAGATGGCTCCACTGAAGCAGGAATCCATCCCTGCACCGGAGTCAACAAGAAGCGGTCTTGGCCCTCAAGCCACCCCCAGTAGAGCAGGGCAGTGCTCCAGCCCCTCCTGTCCCTCCGTGACCTGGGGTCTCCCAAAAGCTGGGCCAAAGAAGGACTTGGTCAATGCTAGGGAGGAAGAGCAGAAGCTGCCTGGACTTTAGCCCGGTCGGCGTGGAGATATGCGGGCTCAGGGAGGCCCAAGGTAACCCTGAAACACTTCCTGGAAAAGCAGACAAGCCCACACCTCAGCACAGCAAGCAGAGGGTGTCACCTGAGTGCCCCCTGTCCTGACAGGCACCAGCTCTCAGACAGCTGGGACAGGAGGCCTCCCCAGGAGCTGGCGGTGCTCGGAGAGTAGGGAAGGGCAACTGGAAGCAAGCAGCTGCTGGCCCGGGCCCAGACAGGGCAGGAAGGACCAGGAACACATGGCTGGCTACCAGCCACCCACCACCAGGGGTCACCCCAATTCCGAGACACACCTCTAACCCACTTCCCCGACCTGACCTGACCTGGCCCCCCAGGCTTCCTGGAGGCACCAAGTGTGCCAGCGCCATCCCCGGGGGCAGGTCCTGGCGGCCAGACCGCTCCCCATGCCCTGCGCCAGGATCTGGGGTTGGTGAACTAGTGCTCAGCGGCACACCTGTGCCCGGGGCCACGGCACCCCTCTCCACAGCCCTGCCCCACCCTGGGCCAGAGCTAGGTCACTGCCAAGGACGAGTCTCCTCTCCTCGTCGGCATTAGTCAGAGGTCATGCGGCAAACCTTCGGGGGGTGGGGCAAGGAGTGACTGGTGGCCTGCTGCCACGTTCTCCCGTCCTATTCTACTCGTCCCCATGAGAAGAGGAGGCAGGCACGTCTGCCACCAGGAAGTCCTGTGGGTTTACTGAGTTCCCCAGGGAGGCTGACGGGCCTAACACTCCCAGAAGCCATAAAGCCGGGCCTGTTCCAGCCTGGGGGAGTGGAGAGGAGGGGAGGGGAGGGGAGGGGAGGGCAGAAGCAGGGCTCCTCCCGGGTCTGCAGGAGCAAGGCAGCGGGTCTTCCCAACCTCCTCATCATACACAGGGACCAGGACGCAGAACATCGCAACAACTTTTATTGCCTGCAGGAGAAACCAGTGGGCCTGCCGCAGGGAGCTCGGGCAGGACCAGAGAACGCGTCAACACGGCAGAACTAAGGGGCTCGGATGCAGGCCAGGGACAAGTGCCCTCCACACTCCCCACGGGGCAGGCAGCCCACAGCCTGGCAGGCAAGTGAATGAGTGATAATCAGGTCCCCAGTGGTGTGCCGGCAGACTGCGACTGTGGAGGGGACAGGCTAGACGCTGTGGAGAGGAGTGGGACAAGGCTCAAAGGGAAAAGCTGGGCTCCTGGGAGCAACAAGCGCAGGCAGGGTGGAGGCTGACAGCCGGCAGGGGAAGCGGCAGCATCACTCCTTCTTGTCCGTGGGGCCGTCTACTGCGGCCTGTGAAGGGACAGAAAATCCAGCCGTGGGTGGGATGGCCCCTCCTCCCCCAGGCCTTCATCCCTGTATCATCACAGTCCCTGCAGCTGAGCACAGGTGCCAGATGGGCAGGCGAGGAGCTGCAACCCCAGCAGCGGTGAAGGCTGGCCCAGTAGGTGTGTCACTGTCTCATCCGACCTGACCCCAGGGGCAGCCTGGGAAGGGCTGTTCTGGCCAGGCAGGGTGGCGTCGGGGGGAGAAGCAGCAAGGGCCTCTGCTTTGGCTTTTCTATGGCAACCAGACACAACTGGGACTGCCAAGTCCTGCTCTGTACACCCGCCACAGGTCTCTCAAAAGCCAGGCCTACCCTACCCTGCCACCCCCACAGTGCCCAAACTGGGGTCACCAGCTATGGACACAAGCTACACGAGCTAATTTCCCCACCGTGTGCCTCTGGTCACCCCACAGCGTGAGCCAGGCTAAGGACTTGGGCCACATTCAGGGTGCCGGTCAGGTTGCGGACCATCACCTCCAGCCCCATGGGACCTCGAGATGGCCAGCAGAGGTCCCCAGGTGGCTGGAGGGCCCTGAGGCTGGCACAAGGGTGGGAAGGCCCAGAGCACAGAGGAGCTTCCTCAGCAATCCAGGCACGGTGCCACCGCCTCGGCAGGGCTCCACTGTGGGGCCCTGAGCCGGCCACTGACCTGCAGCCTGGCGTGCTCCTCCAGCAGGCGGTCGTACTCCTTGGTGAGGCCCTCGGACTGCTTCCGCATGGCCAACGCCTCATTCTCAGCTTTCTCGAGCTCTGGAAATAATGCAAGTAATGAAGGCAGGAAGATATGGGAGGACTGGGATGAGAGTGAGGAACCCTACTGGCTAAAGACGGGGGAAAGCGCCCCAAACCAGCGTCAAGTGGGATTGCCCTGCTACTCAACGGTGCACGCTGCCTTGGCAGCCCCTGCCCCAGAGATGATCGAACTGCTCAATGAAGCAAAACAACACAGGACCCCTCCGGTCCCCCTCGGGGAGCAAACACTAGTGGCTCTCAGCAGGAGTGACCTTAAGGGAGGCTCAGAGTGAGGGCCCCAGCGATCAGGACACCATGCGAGCAGCAGCAGCCAGAGTGTGCGGTGCCAAGCGAGGACAGTCTGTACTCGGACTGGGACGGGGAGGCCAGTGGAGAGCCGGTTTAGATTTTCCAAAATAAAACCACCTCAAATTCCTATCCACTCCCTTCTGGACACTCCCCTCGCTCTCAGCTCCAGGGCATCCGGGGCTCCCCGCCACAGCACGCAGGCGGCTGCCAGGGGTTCTCTGTGGCCTGCCTGGGCCTGCGCCCTGCCTGGCTGCGCTGTGGCCACGGCTGCGCTTCACAAGGGGCGAAGGCCGCTAAACTGTGTGCCTGGCTCTTGAGCCCGTGTGTGAGGCTCATCACGGGAACTCGAGGGGCTCACTTTGCTTGGAGATGGCCAGCTCGTCCTTCAGCTTCTTCACATCGGCTTTCAGGCTCCTGTTCTCTTCCTCCGCCTTCACCGCAGCATCCCCAGTCTCCAGCTTGCCTCGGTCACCAGCAGCTACCTAGGAAAAGTGCCGTGGGCCAGGTCACTCGGGAGGGAGGCAAGGCTCCAGCGCGGGCCTGCCTGAGCGGCAGTTCCTCAAGCTGCCCTGGGCACTCGCCGCTTCGGAAACATCAACACGGAACTGGGCCACTGCTCCCTCCCAGCAAAGGCCAGGCCGTGGCTGGCCGCCGAGGGCCAGGGAAGGGCCAGCAGGGCCACCTGCTGCAGCTCACAGGCCACACACCCTGCCTACCCTGGCTGTGGGCCCTGCCTCCTTCCTCACCAGCAAGACTCAGCAACTCCAAGGAGCTTACCACCTCATCTGCTAACTCGACATGGAGCTGCCTGCCACTCACCCCCAAGTGACCATTATCGCCCCCTCCTCCCCAGGCTCAGGTTGTCTGCTGCAGCCAGTGACCCCGAACCTGCCCTGTCCATCCAGCTGCGCCCCACCTGTGACTCCCAATCCGCCTGTCTCCTTCCAAGCTTGGCTCACACCCTGTTTCCTGGGACAAGCCTTCGAGGACTGGCCCACAACCCCGTCGCTACCTGCTCCCTAGCAGAAGAACATACCAGTCTCCAGCCTTCTACGACAGGTGCGGGAGAACAGGGGTCTCACCCAAAAGGCGGGGGCCCCAGGGGTGGGAATGGACAGCAGCAGCCATGCCCACTTCCCCTCACTGAGCTCCCACAGTCAACTTCCCCTTTGCGCCTGCACCGGACTCCAGCCCCCCAGCTTCCGGGGCAGCGGCAATCTCTCTTGGAGGCCCTGGGGAACGTAGCCTGGCGCTCCAGTCCAGGCATCGCACGGTGAGCTGGGCAGGCAGGGCTCACCTTCTTGAGCTGATCATTCTCTTCCATATACTTCTTGGCCGCCTCACTAGCACTCTCTGCCTGCTTCTTAAAGGCTTCATTCGAGGCCAGCAGTGTGGCCTGCTGGGAGATGAGAGTCACCAGGCGTCTAAGCAGGCTGCAATTGTTTATAGAAAGAAGAAGTAAGAAGCAAGGGCAACCTGGCTGGCAGGCTCATCTCAGCCGCTCCCGTCCCTGCCTGCCTGCCTGCAGCCTGGGCCCGGCAGCACCAGGGAAAGGTGGGGCCCCCACATGGCCACCCAGAGGAGGTATGTTCGGGGCTTAGGAGCACGAGCCCGGGGACTCCACGAGGTCCCAGAACGTCAGCACTCTCCTGCTTGGGGCCTGGACGTGGCAGGCAAGCCTCGGCACTGCTCCCCACCGTGCGAGGCCAGGCATGCCTCGGTAGAACAGTGGCTGACAGGTGTGGGAGCTCCCGACATGCCAGCCGAATCCTCTTATCTCCCTCAGGGGCGGCTATCACCGCCTGCATTTTAACGAGGAGGAAACTGGTGCTCAGCAGGGTACAGCAATGTGGCTGAGCTCCAGAGCAGGAAACAGACACGGCTGCAATCGCAACTTGGGCGCCTGTGCCTCCACAGCCCCGCAGTTGGAACCGCCGCTTGCTCAGCTCCCGGTCACGCTCGCTGTGCCGTGTCACACAACAGTGCTCAACTGGAGACCCTCACGGGCCAGAGGGGACACACAGGAAGAACCGGGGCACAGGCACCCACTGCCTGTCTCAAGTAGCGAAGGGGCACTTAGGCAGCAGCTGGGGGCAGACGTCATCCCTGAGCAGTGACAACAGCCCGGGCCCAAGGATTGCTTAGGTAGGCACGGTGGCCGTGAAGGGGCCCAGTGTAGGCATGGCACACAGTCAGGTCAGGAAAAAGGAAAAAATCTGCTTGCTCCGTGGCTCCTCAAGGAAAATGCTTGCTCAGAACACACAAAGCAGCCTCTTGGCCCTGCCAATCCCTAGCAAGCTCTCCCCATCCCACCTGCGAGCTGGGTGGGCACACAGCATGGAAAGCAGAGCGGGCACAGTCGCCACCCAGCCTGAGCCAGGCTCTTGGGGCCCAGCAGAGCCCCTTTTGGGCTGCACACCCAGGGTGGAGAGGCCCCAGAGTTCCTGGTCTGGGGAGAAGTTCCCAGGGGCCCCTGGTGGCACGGGGAGAGCCGGGCTGTGGATTCCTGGCAGGAGAGGAGAGTTTCCAATGACATGTGCTCTCTAAAATTAGCGGCCCAGACCGCGTGGCCGAGGGCTCAGGTTTCCCTGCCTCAGCCCTGCTGCCCACTGGCCTGCCCCCCACCGGGCCGAGCCCTGAAGGTGGAAGAGCCACCGAACACTGCGGGAGCCAGTGAGAAGCCACCCACCTGACTCACAGGGGCATGGCCAGAAGGCGAGGCAAGTGGGACAGGCCCTGGGCATTCTGCAGCAAAGGGAGAAGCCCCTCCTTCCGCTTGGAAGTGGGGGAGGTGTATGTGCCACCTGGCTGTGGGGCCAGCACAAGGACCCGGTAGAGTAGAGCAGGGGGAACCAGGCAGGCGGGACCAGGCGGGCTGGACCAGAGCGCCCTCCCTGCCTGCGCCCTGCAGGCTGAGCGGGTGGCTACTGGGGAGTGCCCAGGGCTGTTGCCTGGCTACCCAGGCAGGCCGCCGCTGGCTGGGAGGACAGCTACTGCCAAGGGGAAGGCGGTGCTGGGGCAACGGCAACACAGCAGAGTGGGTCCACTCTCTTTGGTGCCACTGCAGGGCGCCCAGAGAGCGCAACCCAAGCCCTGTGCAGTGCCCGCTTGCAACCCCGGCCCCACTAAGCCCCGCCCCCACCCCAGCCTTCGGCTCACAGGCCCAGGTTCCCCTCCTCTGGCCAACTGTTGCAGACATTCCATACCTGCTGGGCACCCCAGCTGGCCTCTGGGGAAGAACCCCCACTGCCTGGCTCAGGGCTTCCAACCTGCCTGAAGTTGGTTCTGGACCACTGCCTCGCTGGGCCATCCCCCACGCCCACAGCTCCGCAGGATCTGCTCTGAACCTTCTGCTTTCTTCTGACCCCTTTCACCCCAATGGAGTTCAGCTGCCGCCCACACTCACGCATAACAGCCGGTCACTGGCTCCTGGATGGCCCTACACTCCAAACTCAGTTTGTCCCAAACGGGCCTTCCCTTCCCATCTACGCCAACCACCCGGTGCATGCGGGCTATGGTGGTGGCACACGAGCTGTCCCGGGCTCTGTCCTCTCCTCAGCTCAAGCCACAGCATGGGGTATTGCATGTCAACTCTGGGCAAGCCACCTGCAGGAACCTGCTCTCTATCGGTGACCTAGGGCAGTCCTGTCCACCACAGGCAAGGCACGCCCGACTGCCAGGCCCGCAGTGGTGCCATCACTGGGTAACACCAAGCCCTGGCTGTTCCCAGAATACACTCCCCAGCTCAATTACCTCCCTCAAGAAAGCCTTTCCCGATGTGCCACCCATGCCCGTTGGGAGACACCTTCTGGGCACCCTCACAGAGGGCCTGGCGCACACCACAGGGCTATGCAGGTTCTATATCCTGCCCCGTGTGTCGGCCCTACCAAGCCATGGTGCCACTAGGTCAGCCTGTGCCTTTCACTGCTCCACCCCCATGCCTGGCACCCAGAAAAGGGGCCTCAGGTACCCTCGTCCCACGCCAAGGACAGGAAGCACTTTCTAACAGGTGAGGGAACGTGTCGGGGGCTGCTCGCAGGGCGCAAACCTGCCCCTTCTCCTCCCTACCCTGTCCCCCTGGGGCCTGGCCCCAAGGGAGACAAGCCCTGCCAGCCTACCTAGCAAGAGGAGACATAGGCCAGCCCAGGGAAGACGTAGCTTCCACCCCGTGGTGGTGAGCAAGTCAGGCTGCTGCCGTAGCAGCAGCTGAGAGGCACGTGGGAAGGGCGACTCAGCAGCACGAGCTGTGGGCCAACTCCCACTCCAGCCTGTCTCCAGTTTGCTTCCTCCGGCTCCGTCCCTCCCAGCAGGGTCCCTGGCATTCACCACAGGGGACGCGTCCGAACCGCCCCTAGCCCCACACGCGCACAGCTCTCCGTGGGGTCTGCCAAGTCCTCTAGGCCTGGGCATGGTGCACAGTGGGCAGGGGCAGGCTTCGCAGGCCAGCCTGCAGACATGACCACTGTGACCTCCATCTCTGGCCACGTAGCTTTCTGGCATTCGTTATGCCTCCTAGGGACTGTCACCCACGTAACCGTTCTGAAGTGTGCGCCAACACAACTTTCTAATGGTACGTGGCGGCCACCGATGGCATGGCCTGGGGTCCTGCTTAACTTCGTCCAGTGACACAGGAAAAGGCCCGTGGAGGAACATAATCAAAGCCAGATGTGTCCCTGGCAGACAAACATCAGCTCCAAATACCTGAACCCGACTTGGCTTTCTGGGTTAAATGTTCTTGGATGCCGAGCAGGGCTATCGTCCTTTTAGGAAAGGTTGAGTAAACAAGAGAAGGTAGGAGAAACAGAATCTCTTTCTGGGCTCTAGAGAAGCAGGGCCAAGCATAGCAAGTGGGAGAGACCGCCCATGGGCTCGTCACCAACCCTGTCTCCCCGCTGCGCAGGCTTAACTAGAAGTGGGGAAGGAGCAGTATGTCCCTGCGAACTCCTGTGGCTGGCCCTTGAGTGTGGCCACCGCAGGTTAGCAGACACTCCTACAGGCACAGGCTATGATACAAGCTCTTGGCCTCCCTGTTGTGCAAGGGAACCCTGGTGCCACAGCGCCACCTGCTGATTCCATGCTGCCACACCCCAGGAGACGCTGGTGCAGCTAGCCAGGGAACAAACACCCTGTGAACATGCCTCAGAGGTTTTTCTTTTTTTGTTTTTTTTTTTTTGTTTTTTTTGGTTTTTCTCCGGTACCGGGAACCGAACTCACGACCTTGCGCTTGCCAGGCAGGCGCTTTTGCCGCTGAGCTAAATCCCCAGCCCCTCTCAGAGGTTGAAGAAAGAATCAGGAAGCTGCCCTAGCAAGGACCCAAAAGCCAGGGGATGCCCAGGAAAGCCCTGGGGCAAAGTAGAGTAGTAACACAAGGCCTGTGCAGCCTGCAGGGATGAGGAAAAGAAGTCTAGAATAAAAGCCCCAAGCAGCTCGCCTGGCAGGCCTACCCAAGCTCCTCTCCGCCAAACTGTGGAGCGCTCTTCCCTCCTGCAGGTACACAGAAGCAGAAGCTGCAGTGGTGTCCCCAGGTGGCTTCCCAGCCTCTCGGGGGTCTGGTGTGCTTGTTGAAAGCAGTAGAGTCTCGGGGTAACGTGGGGGTCGGGAGCAACCAAGGGGGGTCAGACAACTTATGGGAGTTGCAACCTCAAACTGAAACAGATGGTGGCCCATCTTGTTCCCGGCAGCCGCCAGAGTGAGGAGGCGGTCACCCTCCGTGCACGTCTCTCCCACGGCCCACGCTGGGCCCCCGCCTCATCATGGGGCAGGTGCCAAGGGTGAGCCTCAGCACAGCGACAGAGTAGCAACATTTTTACTAAGTACATATGACGTCCAGCAGCACCTCCAGCTTCTGCCCGCTAGGTGCCAAGAGTCCCTCCCATGGTGACAAGCCAAATCATCCCCAGTGGTGACAAATGTCCCTTGGATGGTGGGCTTGGTAGTACCTGAAAACTACTGATCCAGACCTGTGCTGGCCACTATACTCGCTATCTAAATGCAAACTGCAACTAAGTAGAGCGCTCAGGGTCTTGGTGACAGAGGCCACACTGCAGATGTTCACAGAGCCACGCGAGGAGACTGTGTTGCTCTATCTATGCTGATTCAGATCTGTCCCGCAGGACAGCACGCACGAAGCTTTTCCTCAAATAAAGGGACCCCCACCAGTTGTTTCCCAGAGGCACCAGAGCAGGCCGACCCAGTGGCCAGCCCGTGGAAGGGCCCAGACCTGTGTGTTCACACACTGTCATCCCATAAGCCTTGCTACACTGGCTTGCAATCACGAGTCCCCAGCATGGCAGTCGGACGAGTCACCGTCAGTCTGAGACCACCTGGTCTCAGGTGCCAGGCCCTTGGCACTAACTGCCCTACCCAAAAGGGAAGAGCTTGGTTCCCCACACTGGGCCAAGCTCGTCCTCCCAGACGAGCATGCCAGCTGCCA